AGATTATAATGGTTAGGGTGGACATTAAGACACAGCCTATATCTAATTCAGAGTCTATGATATCGCCCACCAAAACAAATTAGGAGATGCTCCAAATATAGTATGACACAATTTGGGAAACAGTTGTCTGTACTTACATTTATAAAAACTCACAGAGACAAAGCCCATAAGACCTAAAGGTGTAAATGAAGCTAAATTTGGTTTTATTGAATAAATGCAATATGTTAAATTGATACTAAGAGGAAGCCCTTTTTTCTTTAATGCCCTTTAAGTTTTACACAATCATGTACTTGCTGTCAGTGAGTAATATAAGAGACCATCAGGTGTATTATATTTTGCACACTATTGTCTTATGCTCTTTTAGTTTGGACTGTATACAGTGAAAATTATAGATACAGGCTCACACATTTTAATCAAAGATTTAGTCTGTCATGGGTCATGGACACATTGATGCTTGCATGCTGTTGGCTGCTAAAGCTATTTTCTAAACTGTTCAAATGCCTTTAAAGACCCATCATCACCCCTCCTGCCTACACGGACAGGTGACAAATTAAAGGAAAAAAAAAAAAGATCCATGCAATGAAAGTATCCAGTGCTTCTTCACTATAGCATGGTTTGGGTTCATTTCTGCTCTGAGAAGCTAGGGTCAGGGCAAATCGATACCATTTTTTCCTGTGGTCACCTTTACTCTGCAATGAAACATCACTATCCTGATGGGAGTGGTGTCTTCCAGGATGAAAATGCCCCTATCCATTGGGTCACTGAATGATTTGATGAGTGTGAAAAAAAGGTGAATCATACATTTTCAGTCTATGCTTTCTCCAACCTTGAACAAAGTTGTACACATATGGGGAAATTCAGATTGATTTGTCACAATTTGGACAAATGTGTCTCATCTACAATTACTAAGACAATCAATAAGGGAGAATTGCTATAAGATACATTTCCTGCTTCTTGAGGGTTGGAAATAGGTGGACAGAAACCGATTTGCTGGTAACCAAAAAGTTCACAGATTTTAATGATTTTAATGAGAAATAACTATTAATGTATTTCATCCAGAATATTTTGGTAATACACTTCACTTTCCTCCTCAGTATGGTTGATTAAACGAAGGACATGAGTTATTACCTAAATGTATATGTGCATATATACCCTATGATATAAATCTTGTTCAGCAGTGAAACATATTTGCAATACATGAGAGATATAAAAAGACATGTAATCTGTAGAATCATAAGTCTTGAAGAATATAAGTT